TGGTGGCAGGCACAGCTGCACACAGGGGCTTCAAAGGGAAGCGCTCATTAATCTCATCTATAGGTCTAGGATGGGTGGAATAAACACATCTTCAAGGGATGCAGGGAAGTGCATCTATAGGTCCTGGACGGGTGGAATAAACATATCTTCAAAGAATGCAGGGAAGTGGTCGTTAATCTTATCTATAGGCACGGGGCAGGTGAAGTAAACATATCTTCAAAGAACATTCTTTCTCGGGGATGTCTGGTTCTCAGAACTGGTGATTTTCAGCGAGGGGAGGGGAGGCCGATGTGAGGGAGGCCCATGAGAGGTGAGTTCTGAGAACCAAGAAGGTACCGGATTCAAAATGGAGTCCCTTGTGCCAAGACCAGGCAGTTGGTGGCCACCTGGCTGCAGGTCAGCCACTCTTCCCCCTCTGTCTCCCCAGCAGACAGAGCACCACTCCCGGTCCTCGTGATGGGCCCCTCCGCCCGCTTCCCCTGCATGTCTCTGGCTTAGCGAGGCGAGGTCCTGGGGGGCTGCTGGGTTCAATCACCCACTTTGTGGTCAGCAGCCCAGCGCTGAACTCACGGCACTACTGTGGCGCCTTTCCCGAGCACGCTAAGGGACTTCAGAGCGTGCAAAGAGTGTCCTCTGACCACCATGGAATGAAATATTAAAAGTCAATAACAAAAGAGACTTCACGGAAACACCCAAACATTTGGCAACAAAAACCATGCGTTTCAAATCTATAGTCAGTCAGTACACTAATGGTTCCTTGGGGATATAATGGGGGAAAGACAGGGCCAAGATGGGGCTTTCTGCACCCATGAAGAGTTACAACCCCGGAAACGGACAGGGGCTCAGAGTCAGAAATGACTGGATTGCAGGGAGTTTGGTTTGGATTTGGGGGGTATGGCAGGGGATGTTGGGGGGAGATGGGGAGCTGATAAAAATGAGCCCAAGGATGAAGACCACGTTCTAAAATGGATTGTGCTGTTATTGGACAATTCTCCTTGATGTGACTGAATTGTTGAATTATACATGAATTATATGTTAATAAAGCTTACAAATTAAAAACCAATGAAAGAATAGGGGGGGGGGTGCATTTCTAAATAACCCAGAAATCAGGGGGGAAAAATCAAAAGGGAAAATCAAAGTGCTTTGAAGACATAAAGGTGGAAGTCCAAAGCTGTCGGGATTGGTGACCCAAGCAGGGTGTGTCTGCTCTGGGCTCTCACTCTCTGGGGGGCCCAGGAAAGGCCTTCCCTCCAGGAAACTCAGTGTTCTGTCTGTCCAGCGGGACCTGAGGACCAACACCCACACAGAGTCAGTGAGGGGGAAGAGACTGTGAGGGGGAGCCTGTCCTTGTCAGCGCATCACCGCATCACCGTCATTGTCAGGGCTGATTCTGACTGAGGGTGACCCAGCTATGCTGACCAGGGTGGGTCCAGTTTTTTGGGTTGTCCCTTTTAGGGCACCATCCAAGGTGCCTCCGACTGGGATCGAACTGCTGACCTCCTGGCTTTTGTCTAGTCCTTTATACACCTGTGCTCCTCAGGGACTCAGGGCAGGTCCCCATGTGGCTTCTTACTCTCTTCCTTTAGCAGTTTCGGTGGGCCAGGCCCTGCCCTGCCTGGGGATCATTGCCCCCAACAGCCACCTCAGTCGGTGTAGTCTCATCCCAGTCTCTGAGGTAGACACTGTCCTCCCCACGTGCAGGCGCAGAAGCCTGGACACAGAGCGGGCAAGTGACCCGCCCAGGGTCACACAGAGAGGCAGCGCTGAGCTAGGTTCCAGAGAGAGGCCCTTGGATCCAGTCAGTGGACCGACTGTGTCCCACCATTATGGAGGGTCACTTGAAGGCTCCCCCAGATTCCCACCATGGCAAGAGCACGTGTACGTGTGTCCCCCCCCCTGCGCCCCCTCCCCCGCGCATGCGCGGACAAGCACTAAGGAGTGGGGAGGGGGTGGGGAGGTCCCCGTCAGTGGGAGGGGGAGGGCGGGTAGCTAAGTGTACAATGCACCTGGGGGTGAGTACAGAAGAGGGGTTCTATGAACCTATTTCTAAGAGGGGGTTTGTTTTGGTGCTGAGCCGTGATCTGAAACTAACTAGCAGGGGAGAGCGGAGCATGGGCTGCCTGCGGGGAGGCACAAGAGGAAGGGTGTTACAGTCCTGGAGGAGGGGCTTTCTCCCAGGTGCAAGGAATTGAGGCGTGGACAGAGGGCCTGACAGGGATGGATGAGGTGGGGGCTCTGGGCACTTCCCTGGCTGTGTAGGTTATGGAAGAGCTGGTGGTGGCGGGGATAGGTTTGAAGAGGAAGATGGAGAGAAGTGGGTGATTCAGGAACGCCAGGGCTCAGTGCCAGGTCCCCTGTGGAAGAGGGTCCATGTCAGGGTGGGTGCTCATGTCGTGTCACCAGCAGGGGGCCCGGGACCAGGGGCGAGGGCAAGGCTGGCAATCATGGGAGGAGCGTCCTAAGGGAGACAGGCAGTTCCACAATCTTGGTCTAGCAGCTGAGGGAGGGTGAGAGCTGAGCCTGAGGGCAGGGGGATTTAAAACTTGGGGTGGGTTTGGGGTGAGTTCCCTGGGTGAGGGGGCAAAGGCCTCCTCAAAACAACTGGAAATGAGGTCCAAGAAAACAAATGGAACTCGGAGGGGAGGTTGGAGAGGTGACAGGTTTTAGAGAAGTCCCAACCTTCCTTCCCTGGGTGGAAAGACGACCAATTGAGCAAGCAAGCAGATTTGCATATATTCATGCTGGGAAGGGTCCAGGTGTGTGTGGGGGGGTGGGGGAGACAGGATGGATGAGTGGAGGCAGGGCCCACCTGGCTGTCAACACCTTGCACAGGTGAATGTAGCAACAGGAACCTGCAGGTGCCAAGGGGTCCTCTCTCTCCTCCCCAGCCCAAGAAAATCTGGGCCTAGAACCATCCAGGGCGCCCGGGGCCTTATGACCTTCATTTTACCATGGGGGCCAGCACACCCATAGGTGTGTACAGCAAACCCTCCCTCACACAGGATCCCAGGTGGTGGAGTGGGTTATGTGTGGGGCTGCCATCCACAAGGTCAGCAGTTCGAAACCACCAGCGGCTCCTCAGGAGACCGATGAGGCTCTCTACTGTAGAGTTACCTTCTCATAGGGTCACTGTAAGTTGGAACACTCACTGGCAGGGAGTTTGGAGACCTGGGTGACACAAGCTGTTTGGCCTCTAGCTCTAACCTTTAGGTTGCAGGTTCAAGCCCACCACCCACCTTGAACCTCGGGAGGCTCAAAGCCCACCTTGGGGTGCCTTAGTACGGAGTGCACACAAGGAAACCCTCTGGAGAAAAAGACCAGGCTTATGGTGGGACAGAGACTAATGGACCCCTCAGACTTTGGTGCTTAGATGTTCTCCAGATTTGGACCTGAACTCACCTCCAGGGCTCAATTTTCAGCCGAACAACAAACAAGTGGACCCAGGGCACAGTGGCGCTTTGTGACATCCTTTACCCCAGGAGCTGGGGAGACACAGGAAACAGAGGATGTGGGGAGTGATTGTGTAGGGGGGATCCGCAACCAATGAAACAAGATGTGCACGAACTGGTGAATGGAAACCTGATCGGCTGTGAGCCTTCACCTGATTCACAATAGTTTAAAAAAAAAAGGCAGACGGTGCAGTTCTCTGAATACCTGAGGGGCCAAGGGTAGAGTCCCTTTTGGGGGGCTCCCCTTCCCCATGTGGCTATTGGTTTCTTTTCTACTTTTCCTTCTTGAAGGGGTGTCAAGACCCGCGAATTTGATTTCACAAATCCCTACGTGGGTTCGGGAAAAGTGGGCTGGAAGCGCTGTTCCCCTAGAGTTAAAGTGGAGTTTGTTTACTCCAGAGCTTCCAAAGGATTCCTTTCCAAGGGCCCCGAGGGCCGGGATTAGGAGGAGGGCCAATAGCGGGCGGAGGCAAAACCAACAGACCAGGGAAGCAAAACCGCGCTTTTAATGGTACAGGAGCCGACTGCACTGTCCAGGGAGTGAGCCCGTGTCCTGGGCAAGAAACCAAGGTGCCGAGCTGGGCGCTGCGGTGGCATTTTCCCTCGTCGATGCTCTCAAGCCCGATGTTAATGCCATTTAGAAACTGGCGTTCGGGCAGGCTCATCCCGTAAGCAGGGAGTGGGCGTTTCAGATAAAGCACTAAGTGAAGAAGATAGGTGGGCTGGGTGGACGAGAATTTGTTCACGAAGTCCCGGAATTTCAGGAACCCGCAGTGTGCTGTTTTGGGCCAGACCAAAGGGCACTCGCTATTTTTAAACAAGGACTGTCCGCCTAGTTTGCACACCGAGAGCCCCTCTGCAGGATGGGGTGGAAGGGCGCCACGTGGGAAGGAGCCCCCACACGCCATCCGAGTCCTGCGCTGGGGACCCCTATGGGGGATTCCTATGATCTGCTCCGGCATCCTTCCTCGGCCTCAGAGCACGGGGCGGAGGGGTTGCTCCCAGTTCCGAGGCGACGCCCCTCCTGAGCTCCCCTTCTGTGAGCGGCGGAAACGAGGGGTCAGCTTCCCCTCATTGTCCACGGCCCCGTCACCCCTCGCTGGCGTCCGGTGCTGGGCCTGCAGTCCGAAGCCCTCACCCTGGCCTCCAGGATAATGAGGCTCTGGAAGGCGAGCCGGGGGCGGGGGCTCCACACCCCGGATTCCAACGCCCCCGAGAGCACCACGGGGCGCAGCTTCCCGGCGGCACCGCGGGGCGCAGGCGCAGAACGTACTGTGCGCTCGGCCCTCCCCCTCCCCCCGACGGCCCGGGCGGGGGAAGAGGCGGGGCGCGTGGTGGGCGGGGCGCGCCCGGCCGGCGCCGAAAACCTTCGCGAGCCTTCCGGGCCGCGCAGGCGCACTGGGGCGGCGCAACCGTTCGCCGGCCGAGGGCCCGCGGGAGGGGCGGGGCCGGCCTGTGCGCGTGCGCAAACGCGCGGCCGCGGCGGCGGTTGGGGAGGGTTCTTCCGGAAGGTTCCGGAGGCTTCTGGAAAAGGCGCCGGGCGCTGGGCGGACCCGCGTCTATATAAGGAAGACGCGGGGGCGGCGCGCCACTTGTTCCTGCGTCTTGGTGCTGCTGCTGCTGTGCGGAGCCGCGCGGTCCTTTCGCCAAGGTGAGGGGGCGTTTTGGGGGGCGACTTCGCGGG